CAGGGATGAAGGGCCCCAAGGATGCTGGGCCAGGCCATGCCTCTCGAAAATCAGACCTCTGGAGTCTTTCTTGCTGGGGAGCATGCAGTTTATACTTGTGTGGTCCAAAAAACCTGAGGTGCAGTCATCTATGTGTGTATGAAAGGCAGCCTTCTCCTGTTTGGTTATCAAGGTACTAGCAAGCAGGCTAATATGAGAGTTTATGCTGCTGAGATATAGAAAATTAATAAATAGGATATGATAAAATCAATGTGAAGCAGAATGTGCATTCTGCCTTTTGGTAATGCAAGCACAGTACACCATAGTTGCTATACTTGCACATCTCACCACTAACAGCATTGAGGGATGCAGGAAGGAAAGCTTTCTGGAGGCTCAGACTGCTTAGGTGGGTATGAGGAAAAGTGGATGAGTCCATGTTGGAAAGAACTTTTACAAACCTCCTCATGTGTGCAATATGACAAGGCCTTCTTATTGCTTTTGTCACTTCTTGTAGCTGTGCTGTAAGAATTCTTGGGTGTTATCACCTTGGTGTTCTGCTACGGGCCACAAAACTCAGTGCACGAACCCAGCACCTGTTTTCAGCTGCACCACCTATTTGTACTTCTCTTCTTGGCTCCAGCTGCAGCTCACACTGTTGTGTGCATGTATCACATATCAGATGGGAAAATCAGGCTCTTCATGTCTGACACTTCTTTGCAGCAGGGCTGAGCTCTCCAGTATCCTCTGATAAGATTGTGCTATAGAACAGTCCATGAAACGCAGTGTAAAGTGATTTCAGATACCTTCCAGCATTTTACCAGCACATAAATAGTTAGCTGCCATTGGAAATCTTAAGCTACAGACAATGGGAGATGGTAACCTCTTGTGCACAGGATTTAAAACTATAGGATCATTGACCTTGAATTGTGCATGTAGCCTGGGAAATCTAGAGTTAAGCAGCTTGCAAAGCCATAAAAGCCAGACACCAGTCTGAAGAATAGAAGCCTTCTTCTAGTTTTCCTGCTGATATTCACTGTTGTTTCAATCAAAGTACAGGTAGTACTTGAAGAATGACAGATCTTGTGAGCTTTATATACCAGTAAAATGAGATTATGCTTCATGACCCGGCTGCATTTGACTTTTACATTAGAGAATATGATTCAGGAATTCATTAGAAAATCCACAAAAATATAAATTAAAATATTTTTATTGTAATTGCTCATTTCTCATTAATTGCACATTGTAACTGACTCACAGGAAAGCAAGAATCATAATGAAGAAAATCAGAAATAAAATGGGACTCACAATGTGTATCAGTACTGAAAAAATTATGAAAAATATAATGAAAAGCATAGAAAACTATATTTTTCTTACTAGCTTTATTCTTATAATATCACATTTTAAAAATACTATTTTAGAAAAAAAATGAACTATAGCTTTTTGCAGTGATAGGCGACAGGTCAGAAAAGCGTTTCAGAATAATTTTACACCTTTTAACCTTAAAAAATACTTTGCTGACAATTGAGAAAGGGCCTTAAAAGAAGCGCTGATAGGCATTCTCACAGCAGGGTTGCCATGTCCCATCACATAGCAGAGGGTTTCTGCATAATGTAACCTGTAATAAGAAGTGTACTGCAAATCACCGGGCTTGAGTAGCAGTTTTAAGAAAGTAATCCTTGGCATGAGCTGCTATTAGTGATGACACTGAAAGTTTGTTACGTAAAACTCTTCAGAAGACACAAAGAAGGTAAACTGTTGAAAATTTTGATTCGAGCCTTGAAAGAACTACTTTATCATAGAAATTTATGTGCATTTAAATATATATTTAGTGTGCTTTGGTTTTGTTTTTTTTTTTTTCTTTTTCATTTTTGCTTATGCTTGGACAGACTCGTTAAATGGAAACCACAGAGTTTTGTTAAAGGAATGTCACTTTTCTCTCATTCCATGCCACAAATGGTAATTGTTCCAAAAGCGTCTTAATAATTACTGGTGTTAATTATGAATGTTAATACAGTCAATGATCACTCAGAGCCCCCATGTTGCAAATCCTTTATAAATGAAGTAAAAACTAAAAAAAAAAAAAAAATTAATAATTCCAGTGTAACAAAGACTAAATCAGTCCATCAAAGCACAGCAAGCTATATTCATGTTTTAATGGCATGTTTTAATGGTTTTTATGGTAGATTCATATCCCATTTAATTCAAAATGGGATAGGAATCTACAAGAAACCTTCTTGTTGAAATTAATTTTGTATTTGTCTGGAAATGTAAATAAAAGAAAACGTGAAGGGGCCATTTCCAGGCAAGTTCTTTTCAGTGTTAATGATGCAAATCAGTGAAGTTTCTCAGTCCCTGGGGAATCTTTTTGTCTTTCTCATTTCCATAAGAATGATTTTTAGGTGATTAAAATAAAAATCTAAAGAAAAAATAATTCTTTATACTTTTCTCACAATACAGTTTAGTTGATATGTGAAAAAAAAAAAAAAAAAAAACACCAACTAGCTTGAATTTACTTTAGAACTATAATAAACCTTCCTAGGAGAGTATTGGTCACAAAATGTTTTTGTATTTTTAATGGAGACATTTTTGGTTGTCTTCAGAAGTATTTGATAGAAGTTGCAGTCATTTGAAAGCTTGATGTTTCAATGTAACTCCAGAATTTTCTCAGCAGCTAATAAGGGGTAATGAAATGTTTCATTGTGTTGTTTTCTAAGTGAGCAGTATGAGAAACGGGCAGAGACATAATAATTAACATTTTGGCTTTCTATATTTTTGGCAAATATTTTTTTCAGAGCTAGATTCTTCCTGAAGATCAAGGACTGAATTGATAGTGAAATACTGGAGAAGCATTGATCATTTTAATCTGCTTTTCGTCCCATCCTTCCTCCAGAAAGAAACTACCTGAGTGTTTCAATAAAAAGCTGCTGTTAAACCATGGCTTTGCTATAAGGCAAGATACATCCCACAGTGGTTAGGACTGGCTTTACTTTCCCTCTTTTTCCAGGGAACAGGAAATAGCAAAAATGGAGATTATCATAGTCCATGTTAGCCCCATGTCCAGCACAGATAGACCTCTCTCCCTCCCATGGCAGAGTGCAGGGTAAGGACTAAATAATGCCCAGCTATCCTGACCCACTGTGCACAGGGAGAGAGCAGCAATGTCCCGGGCTCTGCTGGCACACACAGGAACACGTGTGTGCACATAACCGTGTGCGTGTGCTACAGCAGGGAGTGGCAGCATGCAGGGAACACGGGGGAGCACTGGCCCTGCTGGTGCCTCCCAGCAGGCAGCACAGCTCTCCCTCACACTGGCAGGAGATGGCAGGTGGCAGGAATAACCCTGGAGGGAGCTCAGAGCAGAAGTTGCTGCTGGGCTGCACATCCAGGAGCAGAGAGAAATAATATGTTCTTATTTCCAGGCAGTGCTCAGCCAAAGTGTGTGTCCTCAAAATTCATGGGTTGTTATAAATTGCCCAGGCCCAAGCAAAGAAGCAGGGCAGTATCTTTGGTGTGCATGGACAGGGTTTCCAGTGAGAGAAGGGCAGGAATTCAGGAAGCTGCTTTGACACAGGCAGGGATCCCCAGCGTGTGGATTCCACACTGCACGAGGAGGCTGCAGGCAGGACACACGACAAGGAACCAAATCTCTGTGCTAGCCCCAACCAATGCACTCTTGTGGAACAGGGAGAGTGAACAGGGAGCTGCAGCACTCCAGGAAATTCACATAGAAATGGAGCTGGAGATTACTGTAAGTTGGGACTGGATTGCTTTCCACTGGGTTTCCTCTCCAGCTGCTAATGAGCCACCAAGGAGAATTAATTTGTTCCCAGGACTGCTTGGGTCTTGGGTTTAGGTTGTGGAGGAATGACCAGGACTCTTGGGCTGGATATGGGATCAGATGGTACAGGGGACGACTGTTCAGGGAAAATACACTGGTGCCTGATGCCTCCGTGATTCTGGGAGGTGATTTCCTTCTTAATCACTCTCCATACTCCTGGCTGAAGACTTCCTTCCCTGCTTCGGGTTTCCCCAGCCCTGAAGGCGATCTCCCCCAGCTCCAAAGGGGGATACTTAAGAAATGTTACTGGCTGTGGTAAAGGCAGAGGATGTTCAAGCTCCATTATTCAACAGACAGTAGTCAAGAGCCACAAAACCTGAAATGGGGTCTAAAATCTCAAAATGAACAAAATCAGAACTAATTTTTATAATGCTTTCTAAATAACAGCACTTGGAAGTATGTTTTGACGTTGACTTATTAATTGTTTGCTATCTGATGGTAATATTAGAAAGGTGGCTGTTTTCAAGCTATTCTCCAGACCCTAAGGACATATATTTTCTTGTTTCTTTAATGTGGAGAGAATACAAAAACCCAGACTTTAAGAAGAAATACACTATATTTCATGAGATCATGATTTATGACAACACCACTGCTCCATAAGTTTAATGCTGCTCCTTCCTCCTTCTGTTTGGGTGAGGCAAGGAACAAATTACAGGAAAACACTTTGAAGTCTTTAAGGGAAGAAACTTCTTTCCATCTGCCACTCCTCCTCACAGTGGGATCCTGAGCCTTATGCCTTGCCTCTACATCCCCACTGACCCCTAAACAGCCCACACTACATGCCATAACCACCAAGGTGAGAGGGAGGGTCAGAATGAAGTGTTCCTCAAGACAGCTTCCCCTGACTATCCTGGAGTCAGCCCTGCCTGGCTGTGCACAATCCTCTGCTCACCTCCCTCATCATGGGAGGCTAAAACATTTCTTCTAAAAAAAATAAATACACACAATTTTAAATGTAGGACATGGCCAGTGCTTTATATAATCCTTTACAGACACCTACTGTCCAGTGAGTTTTCCTGAGGTTTATGAGGTTCTGGTCCCACCCCTTTGTGGAAAGATGTTTTCTTCTATTCCCAGAGTGTGCTTGCTGCCTGGCTAGGAGCTTGCTTGCTGGAGCATTGCCACAGAACATCCAGTCATTTGCTTTCAGTGGCATGCCAAAGAGAAGGAACATGACCCTGTAGCCTAAGGACTGAGTGCAGATACTTGGGATTTTCTTGTGTTTCAAAGAAAGATCTGAGGGTAAAATCAGCCTTGTTCCCAGCTTTCCTTCTGAGCACATGCAGCTATATAGAGATTGAGTAACCCTTTAGTGAGGTATGAGTTTGATTTCTCTAAGACAGAGAAAAGATTGCACCTACATCTGAAATTTCTTAAGGAAATAGAAGATCATTGTGGATACTGGACAGACATTGATGCTACATATTACAGGGATCCTGGTCTGGCACATCAGGTAAGCAATTTGTTCAGCTTACTAAGACCTTTGCTGGTTGCAATTTAAACCCTTCTTCCCTGGGCTTGGAGGGTGTTATCTGGAAGGGGATGTAACTGGTAGCTTGTGAGATTCCCATTTGGTCCTCGCTGTGCCTGTTGCCAAGCGACACTTTGCAATGTGCATCCTGCAGCCAGTTAGGTACAACTCCAATGTGCTCCTCTTTTTGTCCTCAAAATGTGGCGTTATGGATTGCAGCCTTGTAGATGCCAGGCAGGGATGAGCCTGTTCTGGGAAATGGGTCCAGCAGACCCACAGAAAGTGTAACTGGATGCTACACAGCTGATATGAACTGATGTGGAAATGCTGTCAGCTCATCTAGTCAGAAACCTGTTTGAGACTGCCATCTGCATGCTCCACTGGCTGCTCCCAGCCGTGCCCGCTGCTGCTCAGGGCTGGAGGCAGAACTGCTGCTCCTGAAGCCTCAGGGCTGTTCCTTTCCCTTGGCAGTGGCTTCCTGCACAGTCCTGTGGTGTGGGCTGGGGCTGAACAGGGTGATGTCAAGCTGGGGTGAGCTTTCCAGTCAGATGTAGGTTGTGTGAGTAGACAATACTCAAGAGATGAAGAGGCTCATGGTGTCTGCCCTGTCCCTTCCCCGGGCCTTTCATTCATTTATTTGTGCTAGTTTTTCAGGAAATATCCCTGCATCTTTAACAGTTTTTTTTTGTCTAGTGAGCCATAGAAAAGGCAAAATGAGGTCCTATAAGAAAAGAGATCTGGCTGTAACATCAGATCTTTTCTTCCCTTACCCTCTTCTCCAAGACTGGATCAAGAATTTCCTTGTGAATCCCAGGAGAATCTGCAAAGTAAGTTAAAGGAGGGGTTGTTTTCCCCTTGGGACAGAAAACCCACTTGGAACACCTTGGAACAGAAAAACAAGTGCTCTGGCATATTTTAGAACAAAATGGAAGAATCCTGCAAACACTAATGTTTTCCTGGGTCTAGACAGCCTCCAAGCAGGAATTACAATTATTAATTTAGACATCTTAAATGTCTTTAGGCTGTTTCAGGGGCCTAAATCCCACCTGACTGTTGGGGTATGATTAGGACCCACTTGAGGAGAACTTCAAGGCACAGAGACAGCGAATTCTTACCAGCATTTATGATATCACAATAATGAAATTAAAATTTCTCACCCAGTGAAATGGTTTTTAGTGATCCTCTTATGGTGTTGTGAAGATCCTCAGTAAGTTTTCTGGAACCATCCTTTTTGGATGAGTCCTGCATACATTATATCCCTCAGAGAAGTGATATGAGATGGAACAGATCTGGTGCAGGTGCAGTAAGAAAGCTTTAAAAGTGTTAGAAAAGTACGTTCAGAAGTGTGAACTTTCTTCACTGGGAGGGTAAATCAGTCAGGATAACAAAACCTGTTACAATTAATGAATTAGTGCATTCATTGGGAAAGACTATGAAAAGTCTAGCTACTTATCCTAGAACACAGGCTGAAGCTAACACTAAATTTACATTTCAGTAAGGACAAAATACATCCCAGAGGACGTGAACAGGAAGACCAGTCTGTTTCGCATTGGCAGAAAAGTGTAGCTCTGTTGCTGTCCCACTGCTCTCAGGTATACCCCAAAAGAGGAAGTCTCAACAGGAAGCTCCTGTTCTTTGTGTTTGTCTCCAGTATTGCCCTACCACAGTTTTTCATAGAGGATATTGGAAATGCATCATACTTTTGCAAAGGTTCTAATGAGCAGTTTTGACATACTTCCCAATGCAAAATGCAGCCACCAAATAAGCTGTGTTTATGGTAGGGATGGTTTTGTTCTAGGAATTCAGGCTTAAAACTCTAAAGAAATCTTCCTACATTACTGACGCATTTCACTTTGGGTTTTTTGTCATGGAGAGTGGCATCTCCAACCACACAGCTCAACTCCTAGGAAATTCACCCACCTCCCAGTCTTAAAATCCACGCTTGCCTTAGGCCCACAGCTTATGAAAAAGTTGTCCTGGGAAAGATGTATCCCTCCCCTCCTCCTCCTCCACCCTGCAGCAGGACCCATTGTCTGCCGGCGGCAAGGCATAAAGGAGTTAACGAAGGAGCCGGCGAGGAGGTATGACGGGGTGATGTCAGAATATTTCCAGGGAAAGAATGTGCTGGGGGGCGCTGGCCGGGCTGGGGCTGGGGCTGGCGGCCCCCGGCCCCACCCCGACATTCTTCTTGTCCGGTTCCCACAGGCGGAGAGTGGCACGGGGGGTCAGAGTGGACGAGCACAAAGAGAGACCCCCTGCTGCCGGGGCCATCGTGCTGGGCTGTCACTGCTACTAATTCATGACTTCACCTTTAATCTCACTGATCCATTATAGGTTAAAAAGAGACCCATTTTACAGCTGACAAGATTGAAGGGAGCGCAACCCAGGAACTGGGGGGCGGGGGGGTGGGCATGGGGTCGGAAAAAAAAAAGAGGGGGAGAGAGAAATAACCCCCGCTAAAGTTTGTACAATTGGGACCATCTGCTAAAAATAGATTTTGTGGGGTTTGTTTGTCCTTTCCCTTCACTACGACAATATCTATTTTAAGAAGAAAGCTGGTAACTGCAGTTATATCAGAATTTTTGCACACAGGGTCAGAGCAAAAAGGAATGGGTATGAGAGGGAAGACCACGGTAAGAAAAGATTAAGATTTTAGGGCCAGGGCTGCACTGGGGAAAGGATGGGAAGCATTCAGATAGCTTAGTGCTGCTTTTAGTGCATGTTTGGTGAGGTCATCATATAAGGAAATGACTAAGAAATTTATCAAATGCTGATGTCAAAGGTAAGCTGATCAAATCAACATTGATTCAGCAGATTAGTAACTAAATGTGTGTGGCACTTACAGCATGTTTATAATGACACAAATGAAGAATTTTCAGAAATCATTAGACCTCCCGTGCTGTGAGCTGCAGGTGAAGTCTCCAGAAGCAATTCCACTACTTTCGTTAGTAGCATAATCACGTCTAATTTGTCCTTTAATGAAGGTTTTTATGCTGTTATTTCAAGCAACTAAAGCGCATATTTTCAGTGAACTTCAAAAAGTAAGCAAGTTGGAAAGAAAAAAGTGTAGTCTCTGAAAAAAATGAAGCAGTGGAGGAATGGTATTTTGCCATACACCCGCAAAAAGAACTACTTTTTAGCATATAGCAAAGAATTCTTGGATTTCCTGGTTTTGTTCTATATAAGTGAGGATGCTGTTTGTAGCTGTGTGTAATGCTAGTTCAGGGGGTTAGGGCATTGCTCCTTTTTGCTTCCTCTAACTGATGATCTTTGACAAAACCTTTTAATTCCCAAAGCATATTTACCAAGTCCACCAAACTAGTCTATCATTCCTACTGTTCTGATTGTATCAGAGAGCATTGAAGCCCAAGAAGTAAATTGTTTGCTGGATTCTCCCTGTCTTTTTTGCCCTTGAACTGCTGGAGCTGCATCTCATAGGATTTTGCAACATAAGTATGTAGTTTTATACTGCCAGAAGTGCAGAGCTTTTGCATATGCTACACCATCCTGTTCCTTCCTTTTTCCACTCCCAGCAGAGGAACTCTGGAAGTTACTGGCATCACGGCTGCCCACTGCCATGAGGTGAGGGTGGAGAGTGGGGAAGTTTATCATGAGGATGCAAAAGAAATTTGCGAAGATTTTTGGGGTTTTGGGAATCAAGTCTGTGAAGGAGATCAGCTTCTGGTGTCTGTTGTGGGAAGTTATAAGAAAGAATGGGGACCTTTTCCGTGAGCCATTGTCAGTTATAGTCAGTGATGAAAGTCCTATTGAAAAGAGCCTCTGATCAAATCCAAACCTGTTCTCCTGAGAGTGACATTGCCTGCAAATGGAGGCAGATTGAGGTCCGCAACTGGCCAGTGCTTTGGACACATTCTGCTTGCTTTAGTCACACAAAATGACGTACTGATGCAAGTTTCCAGCATCCAAACAGGCAGCCCTTTCATAGGCAAAAGCCCTAATGAAGTCACTGGCAGACAGCCTCACTGGCCTAAGGCCTGCAGGCTATTTCCCTAGTCAATACACTGGACCTAATCTTATACCCCTTGAGCATCAAACCCCATGTGTATTTTCTGCAAGTATTTGTTCTCTTTCTGCAGAAGTGCAAGATTTGTGTGCAGTAGAGTGCGGTGTCAGTGAGCAGCTGCTTCTCCTTCAGCATGAGTTGTTCAGCACACAGACTTCATTGGCTGCTGGTTGGACAAAACCACACTGCAAAGCTGAGGCGAGGAGCAGCGAGGCTGCCAAATACAAACCTCCTGTTTTAGTTTGTAAGTGTCTGGAAACAAAACAAAACAAAATTATTAAAGCAAAAGAAAATTTAAAATGGTTTAAGCAAATATTAAGAAAATATATATTTTTGCCTGGTAATCTGACTACTTCTAATTTCGTGGAACATGTAAACTCTTCTGGTTAAGTTGAATGCAATCAGTGAAGCTGATTAACAACAAGTTAAGAGTTACCTTGCAAAATGGATTTCATTAACTCTTTCTAAGCTTAGTCCTTCTGGTTTCTGATCAGTCAGCTGGAATTATTTTTCCCATTTCTAAGAGTGTAAGAAATATAGATTGGAATGGCAGCTTCATATATTATCTTGATTACAAAAGGTCATAAAGCACTAAGTTAAAATGCTAAAAATCATAAGGATGTTTCCAAAAGGATGCTTTGTTTTAGGCAAGGAACTTGTATTTCTTCTTTCTGGAATTTTTTATTTAAGTGCTTTTCACAAGGAAATGTTATAATGCAATGCCCAGGTATATAGGTTAAAAGCATCTTTTAGAACTGAAAAATTACTATCTCCTTCACACTTCTCAGAGAATTATAGAATTAATAAAATTCTTTTGAGATAATTTTTTTCTAATAAATTTTTACATGTTCTGTAATGCACCTGTAGGCAGATGCCCAGAAGGAGCCAAGAAAGCAGCTTCCATGTGTATTGGATGGATAAGGGTTGAACTGCTGAACTGGATGGCAACAGCTTGGCCTGGAAGCAAAAGAGGAGGGAATGAAGGTGGTACAGATTACCAGACTAATTGTGAGTCCTCCCTGTTACCACATCCCTGTCACTTGTTAGGATAAGTGCTTGCAGTTCGTGCAAAACAACCTGAAAGGCTTTTCCTCTAGCTGTGCTAGATCTGATCTAAGCCCACAGGCAGGCTCTCAGCTCAAATAGATATGAAAATGTGGGCCTTTAGCTTTCTCTGGGAACTGACTTCTTTTGACAACTTGCATCCATGTTGTCATCGTGCTTGGTGTGCTATAAATACATCCATGATCTTTGATGCCAATCAACTAATACCAGGTCCTTATCACGACAAGCTCATACACCTCACAGTGTGCTCAAGGAGTTATCTTTCTATCTCCTTTTTAAAGATAAAACTAATCCATTGTAAGCCCCATAACAAGGAGCCACTCACAGGGTGAAAGTATAAGTGCAGTTTTTAAATGGTATTGTATTTGTCTCATGATGCTTGCCATTAAAGATGCTCTGTGTTTTTGTGCAGCACTGCTGTGGAGGTAGAGTACGGTTTTCCTTGTGCTTGCCAAAGAATTTGTGCATGGTTTAATTAAAATGTATTATTATCCTTAGGCTTTTTCTTTTTTAAAGTAAAGTGAAGCACCCTATGGAAGACACAGGACATTCATACACCCAAATCTGTGTCAGCATCCTGCTGGCAGTAAGAGCTTTTGCACAAACATCTGATTGCAGAGCTAGAATTCAACAAAGCAAGAAGAAACAGGCTGGAGAGCAACTACCTAAATACATGCAGTAACACAGAGAGTGGGAAGCGGAACTGAGAGAACAATAAATGAAGAAACAATGAAAAGGTCAAGCACTTACTCAGGATTCGTAAGTACAAATGTTGCCTTTCAAGCAGTGCAGGTGAAAAATGAAATTCTGTCTCTTCACAAATATTTTTTTTTTGTCTCCATATTTCTTTTTTCCAGCTCATGAATACTGCTGAAGGAAATCTTGCTTATAGTGGAAAAACCCAAATATAAGATGCAAAGAGCACATGGGGCCATCAAGACAGGATGAAGCTCCATTTTTGTGACTGCCTTCACGAGAATGCCCTGATTTAAAAGAGAGATACATTTTGTGCAGATGATATTGGAACATTTGATGCACAAACATGATCTTCCATCCTTCCTTTCCACATAGTGCTGGTTCAGTTGCAAATGTGTGGATGGCAGAACCCTCGCTTACTGTGCAAGTGAACTGGGGTAAGACATGTGTGGTGACCATGGTTCTGCAAGCTCCAGAGTTTTCAGAGCATCTGGAGCAGAGTTCCCTGGCTGTGGGGGGCTCACGAGTGGCTCGTGTGTCCACATGGATACTGAGGCTGGGTGGGGGAAGAGGGCAGGTGTGTCCACATGTAGGTGAAGGGTTGTTGAAGAAAATGGAAGAAGGAAATTGCCATCTCAGGGGTTGTGAAGCCTAATACTACTTGAGCTACTTTTGCAGCCATCAGACCAAGCTGTGTTGGAAAGGATAAAAGAAAGCCAACATGGCACACTGAAACCCCCATATGTGGTACCTTCAAGGATTCCCTTCAGCAGTACCCCATCGCTACTCTTTACTCAGGAAAAATATTTTCTCAAATATTCTTCAGTGCTGCTTACATTCCTGATCTTCTCCATCCCCTTCCTGCAGTGCATATGTTCCTCTGCTCTCTGGTGTTTTTCTTTTGGTACATGTTTCCTTGGCATGTGGTCCTTTCCTCTTCTGGACCTCCTGCCTCATCATCTTCTCCCACTGGCAATTCTGGCCCCACTGGCTTTCTGTATAGTGCTTGTACAGTTCTTTCTTCGTGCTCTAGAAAAAGCAAAGCAGGGGTGCAGTGTCAGACAAACCCAGATGAAAAAGGAAGGGATGGATCTGACAACTCCATGAACCTGCAAGTGTCTCACACTTGGAATCCTCTTAGCTCTTGCTGGGCTGGTTGCAGTAGGTGACTGAGCTATAGGAACTGTTTCACCCAGAACTGACAAGACAGAAAATGATGTATCACAGCTTTGAGAAAAAAGTGTGATTACACAGTACCCTAATTTCTATTTAAATATAATCCCAAATCGCTCCTGCATTTCTCTGACATCCGGGGTAAAAAAATATTTTCATTTGTTTTATTAAAAAAAAAAAAACAACAAATAAAAAACAAGTGAAAGCAAACAAACTTTCAAATTAATCCCCATACTAACTGCATTGCAAGTAATACAGTTACATCAGGGCTTCCTTTGGGTCAATATTTTCTTTTGCCTGAAGGCCAAATAGGTACTTAAGCATCACCTAATAACCAAAGACCAAATACAAGCACCAGGCTGACATGTCATCCATTTTCCACCCCCTCCAGATTGTTTCTGTCTGTCTCATGCTCTTCAAATGGCAATGCAAAGCCCATATGCTATGGTGTCAGGGAAAAATTCCCAACACAGCATCTGGCTGCATGGCAGATCCCAAGGCAGTTGGTGTATCAGCTTTGGAGCTGCCTCTGCTTTTGTCATGTACCAGGGATTGGTGATGGGACTGCCTTGTCACCCCACAAATCACTTCGGATTCCAAGGAATCACTAGGTTTGTGTTTGTAAATAAGCTTCTGCTTAAGCCTTTCATGAGATCTCTATACAGGCCTCCTATTACGGCAAAATAATGAGAATTTCTTAACACCAATGTGAGTGTGTTCAGCAGAAATATGTGGGTTTATTTTAAAGTGGACCTCAGCCTGGTACATACAGGTCACTGTATACTGGGATTTCTTTCTCAGAAAACTCTCTTGAATCTTGAATGCTCTTTGAAAAGGTCTTTTTTTTTTTTTCCCTTTGCTCACCAGTGTAGAAGCCATTTCTTGATGAATAGGATCCATAATGCCTGGAGATATTTGAGATCAAGCATATGGTCCTTTGAATATGCATGGCAGCGGGGTGGGAGGGAATTGATGTGCAGCACTGGGGAAAGTGTGTCTGAAAGTTAAGCAGTGCAGAGTTTGGGGGCAGCCTTTCTGCATATTTGGGGAACCATCACTTTCTGTTTCCTCTGATATACTAGTGACTAGCTAGCAATTTGTGGTCAAAAGCATAGCTGTGGGGGTTGAGTACTCAAAGATTTGATCTTGGCTTGTGTTAGACAGAAAAATACCATTTCACTTGTGGTTTCCTGCAAAATGTTTGCTTTTACAACCAAACCATTAAACAATAAAAACTCAAGTTATTCAGAAGTACATAAAGATAAGAAACTTATTTAACTGACAAATGACCAATTCTTTGCTAGGAGAGAGTCTCAAATGACTCTTCTTCACATTTAAATGAAAAGAGTGCTTGGAGATTACACATTCTGGTAAGTTTTCCTTACCAGTGGAGAGAGAGAAAAGGAGACAGGACTGAATAGGAGCGATTGGGCATGAAGTAGTAACTATGAGGTCCCGGAGGCAGGAGAACAAGAGAGGGAAGAAAAAAAAAAAGACAAGAGAACCCAGAAGAAAGGCAAGGGGGAGGAGGGGTGGAGGAAAAGATATGTAGCAGTTATTTAAGAGATGCCAGGGAAAACTGGGATGTTTGTGTGTTTGAGAAGAAAGACAATTTTAAAGTACAGAAACTGAGCCAGGAACTATGAAGATTTACTGGAGATAACCCTGGATAAAATGTTACATATCTGAGACTTGAAAAAGTTTTGGGAGGGGTGGGGGGTTTGATTTTTTTATGTCATTGCCACAGCATTTTTTTTACATGTCAAAATGTCACAAATATATTAAGATTAATTTACTTCATGGCACAAAATAATGAATCACACTGCATTCATTTCTTACGGTTGCTGAAAGTCCTGGAGAAATGAAGAATTAAAAGCCTTTTTAAAATAACCTTCTCCCTCATATGCAGGATGTGACAGTGGGGCAACCACAGTGATGTGCACCATCGTCAGTATTCCTACCAAAGGAATTTTCATTTTCTGATCTTACTAGTAAGAGTGGATATGGGAGAGAAGAAAGATGCTTCATTACTGCATGTAATAGCCCTGAATAAATTGCACAAAACTGACCTTTTGCACATCTTGAGTCTTGCAGATATACCATTTTGTGGAGGACAGGGTGTCTGTGTGTGTGTGTGTCTGTGAAAAATGCATGTGTGGGGTCATGTTTTAAAACAAACTCTATGTCAAAACCAATACAATTCTGAAACAAAACTCTAGACCTTTCTGCTGTCTGGTTAGTGTGGGACTGACCCTTCAGCATTCATGCATCTCTTAAATCTGATTTAAAATCACAAAGGTGGGGGGAGGAGAAACACTAGGTTCATATACTCTTATTTTTGTCTAGTCAAGTAAGCATTTTCAATGGTGTCTTTGCCAGAACAGTTCTTCCTATCAATGGGTCCTGTGTGAATATTGAGGATGACAGCTTAAAGTAAGACCAGTCAATCTATTACAGCCTCTCCTGTGCAACTGTGTCTTTGGAAATGTTTATGTATGTATGATATACTTACATAATATAGGATTGTTTGCTTTTATATGAGTTTGCTTTATATATGTATATATATATATGTGTGTGTGTGTGCGTGTGTATATATATATATATATATATATATATATATATATATATATATGAGGAAAGCCATTTAAGTGTTTAAACCCTTTCTACAGTAACATGAACACACTCAGGTAGATATTTGTAAGGTACTTAAGCTAGAGTGTTTTAAAAATAAGCAAAAAGAGGATAAAATGGTGAATCTTTTAAGGCATCTTTCTAGCAGGTGGGAGAACAAGCCTCCTGGCTGAGCTGCTCATGAGCAGTGATTTCCTCCCAGGAGATTCCATAGTGCAACAAAACCAAATGCATTCAACCCTTGGCCCATCTGAACGCACTGGAAAGCAATCCAGCCTTTAGTTGGATTTCTTCTTTACAGATCTCTTAAATGACTCCAAATTCTGTGCCTGTGGTGGTGGGGAGCCTGGGGGCAGACTCTACTGTAAAAGCCATGAGTCACACATAATGTGCCACTTTCTGCAACAGTCCCTTTCAGCACTTTCAGCATCAGTCCCTCTAGAGACTTTTCAAAGTCAATGAACATCTCTGGATGCAGTGGTCTCATGCCTTAAGATTGAAGGTTAGCATCTGTTTACCACTCATTAGAAAATTTTATTTCAAGAGAAAATTATGTAGATTCAGGGTACTTGTCCTCAGAAAATTCAAAACAAGGCATCTTGGATCTGTTTATGTTAAAATCCACTTGCTACAGTTCTGTGCCCAAGAAAATTTTGTCCAAGTAAAACATAACTGTCAGAATTTAGTTATATTCAGGATGTTTTCTGGGTTCTTAATCACTGTGGATCCTGTTTCACAAAGATCTGAAATATGTGCTGGAGTCCAAGAGGCTTCCATGTAATTTAAGCTGCTGTAACATAGGCTTGGCCCGAAGCAGTTGCTGAATAAGCGCGGGAGTGCACACACATGCTTAGATCCAAGGAGGTGCTTCAGTGCTGCACCAAGTCATGGTCTCCTTCTAAAACATGACCTTCCATCACTAAAGAAAATGATGGTAAAGGTCTGGTTTCCTCCAGGCATGCCAGTCCAGGAACAACGTGCCAGGCAGCCCTCCACTTTCAGGGGGCTTGTGCTGAAGAAGGCAGCTGTGTACAAATATTTCTCTGGAGTCACAGGAGTTACGGCATGCATGATCACTAAGTTCACACAAAACCCAGCACTTTTTTCTTAAGAGCTAGGGGGAAATGTCTACTCTTGCACTTTTTGCAGATAAAAAGATAGCACTTTCTGCCCAGGAACTAGAGCCTTAATTAATTCCTTTAATTAAACTAAAGAAGAATAAGAATACTAGATGTATCTATATAAAACCTGTCCCAGATTCTAATGACATCCTTGTATTGTACACATACACATACAATACATTCTTGTATGCTTGCTTTTCTCTTCATTGATTTGTTTTTTTGTCTGTCAGAGCTTTTAACTCTATTTCCTCTGTTTTACAGTCACTGTGAGAATGATGAACACATTACAACACCTTGTTTTGCTGCTGTAAGTCCTGACACATGGCACCAGCAACATGTGCAACTCAGGGAATTATGCAGGCCTGTACATAGACACTGAAGATGCACCAAAGTAAGGATGGCAAGACCAAGAGGTCTTATGACCTTTGAGACAAAGTTAAATGCTTGCCCAAGTCTAACTGGAACACCTTTCTTGATTTATATTCAAAAAATTTTACATGTACAGTGTGTTAGATGTCAAATACATATTAAAAACAGAAAAACTACAAAACCAGTTACTAGACTGAAACTGACTTCTGCTGGCAACACGTGATGTAATTTGTGGGTTTAGTTATGTTGAAAAGTGTGCCTCTGATTATTCCTGCTTGGGTCTTTGCATTCTCCCTAAAGATTTAGTCAAAGCTAAACAACTACAGAAGCTGCACTGCTTAATAAACAATGTTTTATTTCATATTTGGAAATCACAGATGTACAAGGGACAAGCCATTATCCTACTCAGGATCCTGTGGAATAGTCATGTGTTGGACACTGGGCAAATAAATTGGGCTGTTTGGAAGCCTGCTCACTGCTGCTGGCGGTCAGCAGCTGCTCTATGGCAATGGCTGTAGCTAAAGGCAGAGGAAGCCACTGCAAGACTGTTTCTGAATTCAACCCTTCTCTCCTTTGTCCTCCCCAAGATCTCACAGTTCTCTTTATACCTGCTGTGAAGAGGAAGGGGGCTCAGGAACTGGTATTCCTGTCATCCAGTGGCCCCAGCCACTCAAATTCCTACCCTTGTTGATACCTGCTGCCCACTTTCCCAGTAAAGCCAGGCAACTTTTATTTCCTTTGCAAATGAGCCATTGATAAGAACAGTAACCAGGGCAGGAGTTTTCCAGCAAAGAATAATAGGCATTTCCTATATGCAATTCCTCTGTGAACACAGGTATATAACAGCACTGCCTGGGTTTCTGTTGTGTGAGGTAATTTATATCAGTGTTTGTAGAACTGGGGCCAAAATCTCTCAGCACTGGTGCTGTATTTCCACTCATTTTGTACTAGGGTCTTCCTGTGAATCCCCTGTGGGAGCAGTTCAGTGGTACTTAAAGAGATGGTATTTCTGTAATTATCTAATTATTGCTCCAAGCTCTTTCTTGTGCCTGTTAAACCTTCATTCCAGTGCAAGTGTAACCCCACACTACTGAATTTGGATAAAATGTGATTGAGAATCAACATTAATTCCCCAGTAGTCTTTGGAGGAGGTACTGTTGGCTTACTTTATTTATTTCCAATTTGAAAACACAGAATTCAGACTGGATCACTCTGAATAGAGTGAAAAGTTTCAAAGGCAGTGGAGTATGTAAATGAAGCTGTAATTCTCAATTAGATTCTTTATATTGATTTAAAAATTAATAGGACATTTATTTCTTTAATGAATTCTATAACAATTATCTGAATTCTTGTTAGTTGCTATCAATCTCATTTCTAAATTCTGATTTTCGTTTTGCAGTAAGGAATCAACAGTGAATTGGATCATATTTATGCTCAACAACCTTAATTAATATTGTTTCATGCTCTTTCTTATTTCCTTTATGTGTTCCTTCTCCCTGTGTCACAGGGGGAACTGTCCCTCCCCCGGGACACAGGAGTCTAACACCAAAAAAATTAAGGAAAAATTAAGGAAAAATTAAGGAAAAATTAAGGAAAAATTAAGGAAAAATTAAGGGTGTCTTGGTTTATTTCAGTCTGGTTCATCCTTTTTAATTCACGTTTCACAATCAGCCTTAAATATTACGCCTTCATTTGAGTTTTCAGCTGCTGAATCATGATCAGCTGAAGATCCAGTAGCCCTGCACTACTGGATATAACTCAAGGAGTTATGCTGTTTTTACTGTTTGGCACATACTCAGGAATGGCAACTTAGCTCAGCAGTTGGAGCATATGGCAGGGGGAGATAGGCCAGCATCTTGGATGAAGATGCATATATTTTGTACTCTCATGGTATGATGCATTCTTGTGCTTTGCAGATGGCACCTCAGAATTGTGGCTCTGAAAACTAATTTTGCCCAGCCACGCAGGTCTGCTGACACAAGCACAAGGATCATCTGTTTCTGCAGACACTACTGCACACTGCAGATATCCTGGGCAGGAAGTTTTCTGAGAACACCTGCATCTCAGTTGCTGTGGTAAGCAGGGAAAAAAAAAGCTCAGGAACCTCTGACTAGCCTTTGTATCTGCAGAGAACAATTCAGTCAGACATGACTGCGACCCTCATGTAACACTTGGTTGCTGTTTCTCCTGAAAGTTTATTACATCGTGGTAGTCAGGGCAAGAGCAATGGGAATACATTGATCTTATGGCAGCTGGAAAGAGGGATTTATTCTAATTGACAGAGATCTCATCTTGTCTTTGATTTGCCAGCATCTTCCCTGCACACAGACCAGCCATCAGTCCTCAGAGAAACTTCTTTTGTACCCCATAGGGATTGTAGCACTAATAGTGCCTCTCTCAAAACTTATTTGTGTTTTATGCCTGCCTCTTTGCCTCCACAAAACCAGCATCTTGTTACGTGTGCCAGTGGATCGAGGGCTCGCTAGACAGGTTTCAGGCAACAGATTCTCTGCAGCTAACAGAACTGCAGATTAAGGTATGAGCACTTTCTGTTCTCTGGCATAATTTGCATTACTTAAAATCACTCTGGGAACATTTTTTAAATGCACTAGGCTGGAGAGCAATTTTTCTCAGAACAGCATTGCGTCCTCTCCAATCTCATTATTTGTGGTAGTGTGTCACTGATCCGATTGGGGAGATCATACAGGGAGATCGTTTAAGAGTACATCAAACAGATGTATTTTTAAAGATAATTTTCCTGCAGGTGCAGTGGGCTTCACACGATCTACTATCAGGTCTTCTTAGCTTTCTTTTCTCCCCCCAAATTTCTGTGCTCTCTGTAGGACAGACAACCTCAATACTAGTCTGTGCTTTTTGCTAGATATTCTCCTGAAACAGTAAACACTTTGGCAGCAAATAAAGCCATTGCTAATGGACACAAACAGTTAAATTCTATTGTCTACCTGCAACAGGAGAGGTAAAGGAGAAGGAGAATTTGGAATTAAAAACAGATCTGTCAAGCAATGAATGGAATATTGTCTGGAGTAATGTGAAATTACTGCCAGCTTATAGTGTACCAAGGGGCTTTTTTTTTTTTTTCCAGACAATTCCAAAGAGCTGTTATTTACAGGACCCCTAAGCAATTGTTTCCACATTGAGCTAAGACAAGGGAGCTGTTGCTGGCACTAGCAATAATATATGTCTGCCTGCTACCAGCAGGTTGGAAGGCTCAAACCTCTGCAGGGTAAGGGGTGGATTCTAGGGAGGAACCTCCTCTCATCACACAACTTCTGTGGACACAAAAGATGCACACATTTTTGACAGCATGAGAGTAGATAAGAGCATTTGCTGCCTGCAAATGAAATGCTAAAACAGCAGAGAGGTGCCATAATACCTTCCTGCATTCAGATGTTGTGTAAATTAGCAAGAGATTTCAGAAGGTACCTTATTACCCTCAGCAGAAGGAACCAATGTGCTACAATCATAGCATAGATTTAAGGCAGATTTGAAGACTTAGAATAGAAAAATATCTGCCCTCTAAATTTATGGTGTTCTGTCTCCCTTATTTTTCCCATTTTTAGACTTCAGCTGATTACCTGGGGTGCCTGATTTAGGCTTTCTGACTACTATTGCATCCAAAATCTTCAGTGATTCAGACAGCTACTGACAAATCCTGGTCCTTTGTACAGTCACTGGAGAGAAGTAATTTCCATGCCTAAGTGCAGATCTGACTAGGACCCATCATTGTATTGTCTGTTTTATCTCCACAAGCAGGAAGAACAAATAATTCTGAAGCACTGAAAAAAATCTTTTCTACCTTCCTGGGTCTCGTCTGTCATGGTTTCCCTGGGAAGAAGACAAGAAGAGGACCACATATTTAATTTTTTTCTATGGGTTTTGTTTGCTTCAAAGATTGAACTGAGTTTGCTTTTTCTTTCTTCTCGTATTTGAGGGGCCCGAGAGCATGAGTAGCTCTTCTCTTGAGCCCATTTGAAAAGTATGTTAAGTGCGGCAGTATTGTTGCATCATTTTTTCATAGTGTTCTTCACAAGTATATAGAAATTAAAATTCAGTTCTAAAAGAGTGCACAGCACTGGTATTATAAAAATCTTTTTAATTGAGTTACTTAAGAGAAGATGTTTACTTACTCCTTATCTCAGTGACCAATCTATTTACATCCAGGCACTTTTCAACAATGCATTTTTGAAAAAAAAAAAAGCACATGAGAAGAGTTTTGAAGTTTTGAAATCTTCACAAACAGAAAAAGTTTTGAAAGTCTTGGGCAGTTTTTCTGAAAAAGAGCAGAAAAAACCCTGGAAAAGGCTTTGAACTTTGCCATAGTGATCTCTATTTTCACGGTTACTAAGCAAAACTTTGGACATGGACATTCTGAGGGGGTTGTTTAATGATAAATGAAAAGTTTCTTGTAAACATTAAAGGAAAAAATAGCATGGATGGAAAGTGAAACCCAACTTGGTATCTCCTTTATCACTTGGTCTATCTAAAGTGGAAAACTCAGAGGTGAAAATAAACAGTGGAAGAAATGGAGAAATCAAAACAACAAATAAAAAGTGAGCAGATGACTCATGAGAAAGAGGCTGTTACCCTACGGAGAAATCTGAGGCTGTTTTATAACATTTGCCATGGCTTTGTCACAGCACATGAGATCTGTCATATACATGTTTTGTACCTTATTTGAATGGTCCCTTGAAATAATTCATGCTGCTTCATGATAGAAAACATAAAAAAGGCTACAAGAAAGGAATGAGATGTCAGCATAGCACTGAATCAAATTTTTCAGCATATTATAGGAGGAGAAGCCATGGCACCTGAAGCCAAAAATCTATGAGACAGTGCAAATTTGTTTTGAAACAAATATCAACAATGAAATACTTACTAGATTGTCTGAGCCCTGGAAAGTCAGTGAATTAGTTCCAGCATTGACACAATGAGGTTATTTTACCAAGCTGATAGACCGTAATGATTATCAAATGTGTTCAAGGAAATCAAATCCTGTAGTCAAGTCAATCCCATCCAGAACCTGATTAGCTTTTAGAGCTCAAGCTTGATTACCTTAATTTCATTAGTAAAAAACACCACAAGACTAGCAGACACTTAGAACCATCAAATGATTTTTTTCCTTGTGATCTCAGAGTTGATGTCACGTGAGAAGGCAACAAAAGACTGACACAGACATTGATTCTGCAGGACATCTGCATAGGACTTTTTAACTGTCTTTTGGCTGTGAAGAAGTTGTTAGATGCACTTTTTTCCTTGAGCTTCTATCTGTAAGAACATGTGAAAAATGGTGGTATATGAGGGAAGTGGTTTTAACACTCTAGACAAACACAAGAGAGGAGCTTGTGTACATGGAACTGCTGGTGGTGCATTGTATTTAGACACAAGCTGCTTAAAGAAGTTCCTGTTAGACACTGCGTGGTGCCCTTCTGAAAAGAGAAAGATATGACATAGTCAAGTGTGAAGAGACTGTGTTCTATCCATTTTTCTTATTTCCCTGGGCAGAAATTATGTTTTGTCTGAGAATGTTACCCGGTGAATCGATACTTCTTACTGCTGCTAGTTGTCTCACTGAATGTACAGCTGGCAAACTACGTGGATATATAGATGAAGAGATATTGAAAATCATGTAGCAAGATATTAAAAAACAGTCTGGACATGGCCCTGCTTTAGGTGCCCATGCTTGAACAGGGGGTTGGACAAGATAATTCCTGGAGGTCCATTCTGACCTGTGATTCTGTAGTAACATCACAAAAGCTGATCATTGTCTTTGCTCTGAAAACAACAGGTCATGTCACACTCTTATCATGGAAATAGTAACCATGTGAGCCTTAATTTTAGTGTCAATCCTCTCTTTTAATATAGCGATGTCAACCTTCTTGCAGACAGCTACTTGGTGGTGTGGGCTCAGCTGGTGTCAGCAGGTATAATCTGGGCTGATACTACATCCCAATGAAACCTAATGAGCCCATTTCTCATTTATGCCCCATACATCTGACATGGCTTTACAGAACTTTGTGAAAACCTACTATTTATGTTGTGGGTAGATGTACTTTGGGATCCAGAGTGCATCTGGATCATGCAGAGTTATCTGCATTATGTGTCAGCTTTTGAGAGGGTAAGCAGTCATTCCTCCTGCCTACCTCCAGATCTGACAGTTTGTGTGGCAGCTGTAGAACCACTTCCCTGCAAAGTCCAAGCTGTCTTTGAAGAACCTTGTGCTACTGTCATTGAGAGGCTGGAGCTCTGCCAGCACCCACATTGCTTTGAGGGCTGGTGGGTACATGAGGAAAGTAAGATCCCTGAGCCTCTCCTTCCCACAGCCCTCCCACACAGGTCTTTGCAGAGCTGAGCCTTGGCTTTTAAACCAGCACAATTTAAAAAAATACTCTTTGAATAACCATTTTAGTGTCTGACATTGTCAGTTATTAATCATAAAAATCCTCTGATGGAGCCCTGCAGAAGGAACTGGAACTGAACCCAATCAGATACCATATTTTAATTATATTGCCTCAGCAATGCAGTTTTGCCCATGGTAATTTTTCATACAGCATTTGCAAGGTGGAAACTGTCACAGCTCAAAAAGAGTTCAAACAATTAACATACTATTTAAAACTTAATCTTTGAAAGGTATATTTCATTGAGGTTTCATATTGCAAAGAAAAGATGGTCACAGATTTCACAAACATTCCTGCAAATAATTCTTCCCATTTTTCTGATACCCATGATGCTGGTTAAAAAATAGTAGCATTTCTGGTTGTCACTAGGAAGAAAGGGTAGTATTTTAGAATTTTTAAAAAGTGTTCTTTTTTCACATATTTCTATTTTTGTGGGACAAATTAAATATAGTTGGGGCTTAGAACATGAAGTTGTTTTGATAGGTGAATGTTGGCACTATCCTCAGAAATTATCAGCTTCTTCCAGGTAAATTCTTCTTGAGGACATTTACCACCCTGGGACTTCAGCAAATTGCATTAACTAATGAACGTTGAATTTGCCTAAACTTTGTCACTTAACAGAAAGTGGAGGACATAATTCTGCCTTCTTCCCCTGGCTCCCATGTTCTCCTTACCTTTGGAATCCTGTACTTCAGAAATGCATGGATGGCTGTGCAGGGTGTGATTACTGCTGAGTGGTTGTACTGTGTACTGTGTGATATTCTTGATGGTTTGTATTTTTGGGGGTTTTACATGGAGAAAGAACTTCGTTTCAGCATGGACCTAGGAAACCGTTGCTTTTAGGAGTGCTACTGCCTACTGCTGTTGTAAAGAGCGCAAGAGGAGGATGCAGCAGTGATGGTTTTTATCAATAATGATAACTGCTTTTTATTTATATTTCCGAAATCTAGCTTGCATACTATTTAGTGTAGTGGTTCTGATGCGCCTTCCAACTCCCACATGGAAGTTGCTGCTCTCAGTACAGTTGCAGTGAGCTGCCTACACTTAAAATATGCCACCTGATCTTGTGTTTTCCTGCAGAATGGTTTTAGTAGGCATGAAAAAATGTGGTACAGACATGTCATGGGCTTTCTGAAAAAAACTTTTGTATCAAGATTCCTCAGTCCGGCTGGCTAACAGGCCATGTGCAGCCTGATTTCCTGTCTTACATGTAGTTTTACCATAATTCTTTGACCAATGGGCAGGGAACAGCCTTTCACAGGCTCTCAGGACATAATTTCAAGCAATTTCTTAGTAACTAGCAATTCACTTCCGGAGCTAGAGGTGGTCTAAACTGAGCTCCAAAGCGACCATTAACTTTTTCTCTTTCAAATAGAGCCAGTGAGTATTTTTCCCTCTGGGTGCACACTTGCATATCTTTACAAACAGGGCACTGTTAGATTTCTACCCTGCCATAAACTCTGACTGTAATACCTCATCCTCTACTGACCTGAAGTGAACTCTGAGGAGAGGGAACAGTAATAAAGCAAAACCCAGCAAACAGTGTGAAGCTTTTGTAAGATCTTATATAACTGGATTGGCTATATTGGGAACTTGCCTTTGGTTTTAATTATAGATTTAAGGGTGCACTTATCGGGCTCTGTGCCATCTCTTTGCTCCCTCCCTTCACTCTCGATTTGCTTTATATAATGAGCAACCACTACAAAAAGGATGTTTTTCCCCCCTTCTTTTCAGGAAGAGGACAGGCCGACAAAAGTTCACTGGGGGTTGGGGAGGTCTAATGTGTTAATTGTCTCGTGTGTCACCCTGGTCTCAGGCTTTATACTGGTCCCTCCAGAACATTTCAAAGATCAGCTGTCAGAGCCCAGCAAAAATGTATGGTGTCCCAAAACTGGCCACTGTTTCTTCCCAAAAGCTGGGGTTGAGTGACAAGTACCTCTTTGAACTTGCAGAAAAGTGTCAAGAGAATAACAATCCCCAAATCTACTCAGATCTATCACTTACTCACATCTGTTCACCAGCATACACAAAAATTACTTTCACGGAAGCAGAGCCAGAGCAGATGCAAAGCAGCAAGGTCTTCTGAGGGCACCATGAAGCATTAATGAAACCTGACTTGAGATTTGAGGAAACAGGACTTGGATGCATTAAAAAATTTAAAAGATAACTTAGTCAATTTTGCTGCCTGAGCATCACTTCTCGACTTAATCTTTAACTCAATCTGTATTCATCTTCCTGGTGACTTTTACCTCTCAGAGCATCTGCTGTACCAATTGTTATATGTGCACAGGGAGAGGGGTTTGTAAAGCAATAGAGAAGCTGTCCTGCAGAATTACTCTGGCTGTGCCTTAAAGGGTAGACACCTGCTGCCTCCTTTGAGGGGTCCCAAGCTCAGAAATCAGGTTTCTGAATCTGTTATTCTATCAGAAGCTAGTCCCCTGAAGGGCTCTCTGGAGCTAACTGCCCTGCCACGTTTAAGAAGGTGATGGCAGAGCTAGTGGCTATACCCCTGCTCTAGCTTAGATGTCTTCAGCTTTTTATTTAAATCTTGTGAATGTACAGGGGTTAATAAAATCAGCACAAAGGTGTTACTATGTGAGCTGAATTCCTCTAAGTCAGTGAAATTAACAGTATTAAAGTCCACTATCCATAGTAAGTAAAGGGGCTCTGTGATGCAAGAGGAGGAGGGAGGGAGGATAGCAGGATACCTGAGCATCTCAACACAAAGGCGGACCAGATCCACTATGGCTGTCCCACAGCCTAGAGCTAAAAAACTCTGCTTGCCTTCTTATTGCTATAAAATACAGGTATAACATAGCAGGGGAATTAAAAGATCGCTGTGTTAACAGGTTTTTTTATTATAGAATGATTGTAACAGTCCATCTTTTAAATTATGAATGCAATGGCATAACTCCTGGTTATACTTTCACTGATACCAAGTTAGAAATATTGCTAAAAAGGACTTTGGAAAAACAGTGTGTCTGACTCTCCTTAACAGCAGCCTACTTCTTACCAGCCCTGTGACTACTGAAGAATTTGTCATTCCAGAAAATTGTACATCGTTTTGACATGTGAAATCACAAAAAAAAGACTGCTCCTAATGGAACCGCAGCTGAACAGACAGAAAGCTTCAGTCCTAAGGCCTTACAGAAGACACTGCAAAACATAGTCTGGGCTTCTTGGTTGATATAGGTATACATGCTCTATAGCAGAAGTGGGTGTGTTCATCCTTGCTCCCAACTCTCAAATGATATCACTGCATCCAGTTTTGCTTCCTTTTTTTATGCTTTTTTCTAGGATGTGACTCAGTGCTTTTCAGAAAGCAGAGCTTTTGTCTGCATCATTTTCCCTGCCAATCCTTTACATCACCTGCTTGATCCAGAGTTGGGAGTGACTCATTTTTCTCATCCAAGCACATGTGCACACAATGAGCTGTCTCTCGTCTAATGGCCCTTCACAGAAACTTATATGTAGGGTCATGATTGTGTTTTGTTGCAGATGCCCAGTGCCCATCTGTAGAGGACAGTCTCTGTCTGTCTCAGGATTTATATTCTGAATGCTTTAAAGGCTTTGCAAGTGAAAGCAAATGATTTATTTTTTTTCCCTTCCTCCCTCACGAGCTAATTTTGTATCTATTATTTACTGTGGGAAAGCTATGCCAAACAAGCAATCTCTACATTTTGTTCTGAGGCCGATTTCCATCCTAAACTATTTACTGAAGTGAGCTGGAAACTGGAAAAGTTTCTGGAAAAGTTTCTCCCCACTCACTCACTCACTCACCACCTTAACTTTGTTGTTTGCCCCTTATGTGAAGATAGTTTTAATGGAAACCTTTAAACTGCAGAGAGACTCTTGTGGCAGACTAAGTAACTAAAATTTATATATGAATGACTGAAATCAAGGCATGTACAATGCAGACATGTGAATTAGTCCACCTCCTCTTTTGCCCTGTTAGAGTCAATGGAAAGATGTAAGCACCTCCCAACAGTAATTTGACTCAACCCGAATTAGACAGCTACCATAGGTCACATGGATTACAACAAAGAAAAGGCAAAGCAAAACAGCTTTGGTGCAGATGTCTACATTTTTTTGTTAGTGTCTATTGTTATGGTGTCTTACATAAATTAAAGTTAGTAAATTCATTGTTGAACAGAGCAGAGATTCAGGAATTTCCAAAGAGGCAGATTGCAATACTATCACAAAATGATACTATTTTAATTTTAGATTTTAATTCCTCTGTTGAGAGTTCATTTAATCTTAGCATTCAGCATAGGCATCTCCTGTATTTACTTTGACAGTACACCACCAAGAAAAGTTGCAAATTGTTAGAATAGAATAATGAAATTTTTTAGGATGAAAAGGACTTTTTTAATATCATCAGATGCAACTGTTAATCTAGGGCTGACAAGTCATCCACTAAACCATGCCCCAAAGCACCCTGTCTACATGTCTTAAATACCTCCAGGGATTTTGGCTCCACCACTTCCCTGGGCAGCCTGTTCCAGTGCTTTACAATCCTGAAGAATTTTTTCCCTAATATCCAATCTAAACCACCCCTGGCACACCTTGAAGCCATTTCCTCTTGTCCTATTGCTTGTAACTTGGGAACAGAGACCAGCCTTCACCTCAACACAACCTCCTTTCAGGTAGTTGTAGAGAGTGATAGGGATCCCACTCAGCTTCCTTTTTTCTGGGCTAAACATCCTCAGCTTCCTCAGCTGCTCCTCATCAGCCCTGGGCTCTGGACCTTTCACCAGCTCTATTGCCCTTCTCAAGATACAATCCAGCACCTCAGTGTCTTTCTTGTAGAGAGGGCCCAGAGCTGAACACAGGATTTGAGGTATGGTGTCACCAGTGCTGAGTGCAGAGAGGTGATCACTGCCCTGGTCCTGGTAGACACACTATTCCCCTGGTTACCCTGCCCATGCTGTGTGATGGCACTCAGGATGATCTGCGCCGTGTCCCCCCACAGGCACTGAGGTTGGGCTGAGATTGTAGCTCCCAGAATGCTCCATCTGGCTCTTCTTTTAGATGGGCATCCCATTGGTCAATCTCCGGTCAATTAGGACCTCCTCACTTAGTCAGGACTGCAGGTAAACATTGAAAAGTGGCCTGGTGAGCTCTTTCACCATGCCCCTCCATAGCTTTGGGTAGATTTCATCCAACCCCATAGACTGATCCAGCAGTTTCCCAGGGCTGTGGGCAGGGTAAAGGCAGAAAACTGCACTCAACAGTAGCAATCTTCCAGATTGCCCTGGAAGACCTGCATTAGCAGGACTCAGATCCAGCAAAGAGACTGGCTGTGTCTCCAAGACACCTATTCTCATATCCAGGCTGGATGTGAGATAGCAGTGGAAGAACGGGAAAGATAAGGGCAACAGCCTTATTCATGGACTCACCAGGAAACTGGATGGACTAGTGAGATAGCTTTGAGCTTTCCTATCAGGAAACGTTTCCACATTGTCCTATCTCACACATCTCTGCTCACCTTTTGCACCAGTGTGAACTGGTAAGATCAGTGATACTGTACTGTGCTCAGGCCCAGTAGAGGGGACCTAACTTCTGGATTATGAAATGTCATCAGCAAAGAAAGAAGATCCAATATTCAGGGTCCCAGAAAACTGATGAAGGAGCCAAGGTTTTATAGAAAATTTTAGTGATGTCTCAGAGAGTCATCTGGAAGGGTATTTGCTTCCTTCTTCTGTCTCCCAACAACCTGAGGAGAGTGAGCTGAGAGCCTCTACATAGAAACAAACCTTGACAGTTTATCAGTGTAGGTTGGATTTTGATGATGCTCTCAACAAGGCTGCAGCAAATTTCTCATTACTTTTCATGTAAAAGAACCCACTTTGCTTGTCTTTGTGCTCTAAGAACCTTGGAAAAAGATAGCCTTGGAGGAGCCCATTTCCCAAGAGAAACAAAAAAAATTCTGATGCCTCTTGAAGCTCCCTTGTGTGAGCCATTGGCAATGTGTTTTTTTACTGTTTCAGGAACAGGCCAGGAAGCAAATGGCTTGGTGAAAGTCCAGACAAGGAGACAGTGTTTTCAAGGTCTCACTCTCCCTGCGCAAGGACAGCCAGAGATAGAGAGTATTTTTCATTTCCCTGCTGCCCTTTGTGCAAGGCAGGTCACAGACTGCTTGTTTACTCAACATTTCAATATATTCTCCAGGCGATATTTTTTCCTTCTGCTGAGAAGACTGTCTTTCCTTTAATCCATTTATTCCTGATCTGCTTTTCCCATAGTCATCATGCTCACTGAACGCCATAACAAATCTGCTCTTATTTGTTGTTTAAACAATGGAATTTTTTCACAAGACAAACCAAAAATGGGTAGCTAAAACTTACACAGTTCTTGTTTTACGCCTTTTTTTCAGTAAGCGTGGAATATTTTAGAAATTCTTCTATCTGATTAAGAGTAAGCCTTAAAGACAGTGCATAAGAGCACTTGTTCTACCAGCAAAATCTTGTTTTCATGGGGATAGCAGGGAAGAGGCACCTGGACTCTCTAAGGAGAGCTTTGAAGGAAAGAAGGTAGACATGATTGTAATTAGCCAACATATCCTTTGTTCATCTAATGTCATGTTTTTCTTCTTCAGCTTTTATTCCTTTTGTGATATATAAAATATTACTTGAATTTTGATTGTATCTCAATTCCATGCAGATATTTTCAATTATAAACTAGGGTAATGTTAACTCCCATTAATGA